AGAATCCAATAATACTGGGAAGCATGCAATCATTGAGGAATGGTTTGAGAATCAAAACCAAAGAGGACGTGACAAAATATACCAAGGGAGCAGCAATGCCATTATTGTCAGAGAACTATGTCCTCAATTATCTGTCAGATCCTTTGTATAGATATAAAAGCATTGTACCCAGAAGGACATACTGAGTTTTCTTCTCACTTTTAAGCATGTCTAGGGTAGAGATGTTGTTTTTTCCATTTAAATGGTGTTCATTCGAATAGCTTCGGAAATGCTAAAGAATTAATTGATCCTATAAGAACAGAACTTGTGACCATGAACCAATTGAGCTATTACATTGAAGGTTCTTCCTGGAGGTAATAGATTCATTTCTTTTAAGTTAATATAAGTAACGCCATTATATGAAGCTATCTGATGAATACAATCATATAGCTCTCCTTTATTTTCAGCTGTCCAAGGTTTCCCATGGTAGAATCTAAAGAAAATGGCTAAAAACTAAGGCTGATTCAAATTGGAATCAGCAACCAGATAGCCATATGCATAGTATTGGCAACATAACACATGGATGAATGCATCCAAGGGTATGTTACCGTATAAATAGGCCCTAGAAGGGCCAAGATCAGACACTCATTTTTGCCTCTGTAAATAAACAGGATCATGTCTGTTTACAGGCTGTTCCTAAATATTTCAGACACTGTGCATTACAGAATTGCTTCCAAGAAACCAAGGCTTACAGTTTCTGACAGCAGGGAGGAGGAAAGGACGAATGATAACAAGAAATGGAATGAAATGGGGAACACGCAAAAGCAGAGGGGGGTTGACTGAGACACAAAACAGAAACGTAACAAGCAGATCCAATTATTTCATCTCCCCTGCTACCTTTTACCTGGAAAATCACCAGTAACGGAAAGATGTCATTTAAAAATCATTCTAATCTGTCAACGTAAACACATTTTGTTATTGTTTTTATTTTTCACTGAAATATTTATTTTGTATTTCCTTTACTTAAGACAAAAAAGTAGGTAGGTGTCTGCTTGTAGCCAATTTAGCTATTGCTGTCCTATATCACCATAACCTTTTACCGCCCTAGGGCTAATGGAAACTTTGATCCAGAAACAGTTGATAGACTATCTTGTCACCAGAAATTCTATCCACAGTTTGGGCAGACAATTTGGGCACATAAAAAGTTTAAAGTAGACCATATTGAGCCTTTCACATGTCCCTCTCCCATCTCTTCTAATATAGGGAGGTATGTACATTTGGACAGGGTGAGCAGGCCTAAATGTGACAGGCTCTTTGCCACTGGCAATGACCAAAGGGAGGTTCCCGATTGGAAAGAAGGCATGTCCACACAAAAAACGGTATTTCAGCTTGTGCTGATTGCCAATCATGCTGGCTGGCCCTATTAAGGGCTGAGCATTTGCAGAATACTATTAGTGCCCTTAGCATAGCGCAAATGCATCTAATAACATGCGCGCACATCTCTTTTTGAGCCCACCTAACTGGTGTCTCAAAGAAGAACACCAGGGAAAACAAATTCATGACAGCAGTACATAACCACACAATTGGTACTGTCACACTAGATTTAGGAAAGTTGGGAGGCCTGCAGCAGCATATCCTAATAACAATGTATGTCCATGATTTCTACAGAAGTTGAAATATATATTTGCAAATACAATAATATTTAGTGCTTAGGATCCCCTCCCAGAAGGTCCATAGTGTTACAGTCATAGCTGTTGTAAAGTATTTGTTTCAAAGGCATGCATTGTCAACTTCTGTCAACGTCTGTGAATTGTAGAGAGCGATTGAAACCAGCATAGAGAAACTAATCTCCCTTCTGGCTGGGGGTCTTATACAGGCAATATAAATAGCATAAGCACACCTCTCCCACTCCTGCAGTGACTGTAATCACTCTGCAGGACAGCAGTGTTTAACACCAGAAGCCTCTCTTGCACACAGATAGGGGCCCTGAGTATACAGACTAGACTTGAGCCACTCTGTATTATTAGTTTCTCTGCACACAAATGACACAGCAAGCACCCTAGGGACTATACTTTGTTTAATATATTTCTACATTTTCATTTCATTGGCACAAGACGGAATGTTCTGAAATTCTATCATATTTGCATTTTTTTTCCCCAAAGGTTGCCGTGGCATCCGCTGTGCAAAATATGTTAAGCAATATCCATTTCTTTTCATATGGGATCGATTTACCATGCGGCGATACTGAGGAGATTTGTCTTCAGTAAAAGAAATCCCCTGCATGATTTTTATAGAGGCTCTTCATTAACTTTATAACGATGCACTGAATAAATTAATAATATAGGGGTTAGTGTCGTATTGGGATTATTGTCATAGAATCGTTATTACTTTCATTTCATAACACAACAGGTCACAAGTGTTTATCCTAATAATATCCAGCTATTTGAGTTAGGAATAGTCTTATTTTTAGGACATTAAAATTCTTCATAAAAAAAAGTTACATTAGTTATTCCTCTTGTGCCACATTGCGGACATGTTATAGTTGTATAGGGATAATTTTATGGTTTATGTCTCACTAAAACCATTTTCAGAATGTCAACTCAGTGAACATTCTGTGTATCTGGAGTAATCATCCTCAGATAAAGCAACTATCAATTTCCACATATTGAATAAAGTCCAACATAATTTGGTGTCACTTAAAAGATAATGCAAATGTCATCTTTACATTGTGCTGCCTTAAATTAGTATATCCTCACGCTTCCACAGTTTTCTTCTGAATGCCATTTCTCCAACCCTTTTTTTGCCCCTGGGCTATAGGCCTCAAATCACTATTTTCTGGAGGCCAAGAAATTGCATGCCATGTCTAGGCCTCTACCTTGCCTGTCTAAGTAATCTGGGCTAAAACGGAAGAGAAGGCATTTCGTACCACGTTGAGGTGTGTGTCCCAGAGGCACAAGAGAAGCCTTCTACCTACAGGGAGGTGTGTGTCTCTCCAGCACAGAAGATAAATCTTACCTACACAGTGACATATTTTTTAGACTATAAGCTCTTTCAACCAGGGTCCTGATCAACCTATTGTTCCTGTAACATTTTGTAATTTTCTCATCTATTGCTAAATTTTGCCCATTATAATATAGTAGAGCATAGCTGAATATTTTTTTACTATATAAATTATATTATTTTGAGGCAAAAGTTACCTATAGTGTTACTCTAAGACACATTGTGTGGGTTTGAATGTTGACTATACAGTTTGGGGCTTAGTCTGGCAAAGTAGTGGCATTAGCTGTAAAAGTGTAAGAGTTGGGAGGTGTTACTGTGCTGTGTGTAGAACGGGTACCTGGATCAGTGTTTGGATGAAAAGTCTACAAGTATATTTTTTTAATGAAGATAAAAAAAGCGATGAAGGAAATGTACTGAGCGTAAAAACGATGTTTGCGCTGGAAGCAAGCAAGATGAATGGCTAGATAAGTGATAATCACCTTGTAATTGGAAACAGGAAGGAATGTATGGGAACTTATCAGGAAAAGTCAGAGAAAGTCAGAAAGTGACAGCCTTAAACTGTTACAGCAGCAATTTAAAGACAGTACATAACTGTGAGCAGCTGGAAGAGACAAGGGGAATCTGAAGTGGAGAAAGTGCATGGAGAAGAAGAAAAATCGCAGGAAAGACCATGTGTCAGGATGAATAATTTGTATCAACCCACTGAATGGCAGAGGGCCAAGTAAGGCACTGCAAGCAATTGTGACGCTCATCATTACGGCATTCGAAAGGTTAAGGGGGAGCATGTGAGATGAAGATATGAAGTGTTGAGAAAAAGCATGTGAGGGAACGAGGTTACTAGGATCGTTTATTGGAAGCAGTGGAAAGGAAGAAACATTTCGTATAGTTTCAGGCACAGTCAGCACATGAGGGTTTATTCCTTAAACAGGGAGTTATGATAAATTAAAAACTGAAATGCAAAACTCACGTTAAAATATTCAGAGAAAGACTACAGCTGGATTGGTGATTTCTTCCAAATCAACAACTAATGGCTAAATTTTGCAATTCTTTTTTTTTTTTTTTTACGTTTCACTACAAATTACCGTTTAGTGGATAAACCCCTGGTGATTTAACATTTCTGTTTTTAGCACTCTCTCCAAAGTGACTTTTCATAAGGCTTTTCTATTGATTGGTCTTAAGCTTGAATGGCGTAATGTTCCTTAGTTCATGCTTTGAGAGACACTTGTTTTTGGAGGTACCAAAAAACAGATCCACAGAAAAAAACCCAAATATTAGCAGTTAGTAGCAAATTTAGTGGTGTAAAGGCTCTGTAGTCCATGCTATACAATTACTCAGTGTCCACTCATCTATCTAATAGTGTCCATCACCAAGAATTTATTTCAGATCATGCAATTATTAATGAAAACTGAAACTACACAGATGCTAAAAAGTATTTTATCCTTCGCTAATTAATGTTTAAGGGCCCACATGATACAGAGCTATCTCAACAATAAAGAAAATTATCTGAAAGCAGGAACAAAAACATAAGGAAAAAAAAATATTTGATTATCCAACAGTTCTGGCACCGCAGTAAAAATTCTATTCCATCAAGATAGGTATATAGTACCATTTAAGTGCTACAGTACACAGCAGAAACAATCACATCTGATATTCAAGGTAACCAACATGCCAGACAGTAAGCTGGGTCTGGAATTTGAGACCAGGGGAAATCATCCTAAAAAGGGGCTGTAGTGCTACACTTCAAAGTCCAGAGGACTATGGAAATCCCAAATCGACTTGGGATAGCCGTGTTTAACCCTGTAAGGGCCAGACCACTGCTTAAACATCCGCAGGCGTCCTATGAATACATCACAAAGAAATATCTGGAATACCAAACAGGACGTAGTAGAACACAAGTTGTGCACACATCATTTCATTTATTTGATTTGAAGACATGGTATTTGTGAACATCAACAGTCTTTTTGTGTCATATTTTAGCTGTGACATACTCACTGCACATAATACAGCAATACTGTGTAGCCATCTGCTTAAACCTGTGAAGTTGTGAACGACTCTTGCCAGAGATCACTGTTTATCCAGGCAACGTATGGTATGTGCTGGTACATATGACGGCACAAGACAGTACTTGGTAGCATGTATTATTATTATTGACATTTATATAGCGCCAACAGATTCCGTAGCGCTTTACAATATACATAGATAAGGGAAATATTAGATCTTCGCACTAACCTCTCACCCGGGCGTAGCAGCAGCTGCACTGAGACAGGACCTTACGGAAGAGGTTTTGGCAAGCACAGCCGTGGCGTGGGTTGCCCCCTCTCATTGCTCCCCAGGCATGGCGACGCCGAGCCCGGTCCAAAGCATGCCAGTGATGAGGCACCCCAGCTCTGCCTTCCAGACAGAAGTAAACCCACCAAAAAACCAACGGGTATGGAAGGATTAAAAAAAAAGATAAATATGCCTGAGAGTAGCAGTGAGCGGATATACAGTACAGCGTAGTCTCAGATGTGCGGAGACTGGAGGATGAGTGAAAGAGGCCAGCTGCTGCCCTCAAGCTGGCTGAGCAAGGCTGGATGGAAGCTGTGTTCTAAAGTGGCAGCTTCACCGAGCTGTTCTGCTGCTTAGAGCTGCTTTAAAGGAGGAGTCTGCAGCTCTTCCATGAATTGCTTTTTACTCCCTCTGCTGCACTCTCTTTTTTTCCTAGCTTGTCCCTGTGTTTCTCCCATCCCTCATCCCTCTTCGATGAATCTCTATAACACTACAGAATTTAGCATCACAAGTTTAACACTAATTGTATCTATTACTTCTGTGATTACAGTATCATTAAAGCACTTTACACTATCTCATGTATATAGACTTTATACTGTACAATTATTTGACCAGGGCCCTTCCCACCTCTAGCTCTCTCTCGTGAAAATGTACTTCCCAGCCGACCCCCAAACAGGCCGAGGCAAACTATGGGAAGTATGAAAATAATACAAACATACCACAAAATTACGGCCAGTATGATTTACTAAACTTGCAGTTTTGTTTAGTTACAAATTGCAATTCGAAGGAATTTGGGCTGATCAAGTGATTGTACGAATTCCCGAATTCTAAGCCACCATACAGACTATGAATGGGCATGTTTGCTTAGATTTACTGCATGATGCAAAGCTTCACCCGTGGCACGAAAAAAAAAAGATTAATGATAAGAGAAAAATTGATGGTTAGGGGGACAGCCAGTACAGTTTTATTTTATTCACATATCAATTAAGAAGTAAGTAAACGAGTGAAAAAAAGGAGGCAGTAGAAATGTTTTTATATATATATATTTAATATTTAGTAAATATTATAGTTTTTTTTCTCTATCGGTCACATTTTCTCACTTGATCTGTGAACCAAATGGCAGGATTATGCTCCTAACAGTGTACTGCAAAATATATACCTGATAATATTCTATGTATATTTTCCACAGTACACGGATTGTTCCATTTTTGCGCCCTTAGTTTTTCGGTACCAAAATTGAACAATATTCTGCTGAAATGCCGGTGATGACTAAAACATTCAAATAGTTTAAAATAATACCATTCTAAACAGAAATATTGATACATGTTGATAATAAGAGAATTACTAACAAAAGAGCGTGATTTTAAAGGGACTCTGTAGTCACCAGAACAACTACAGCTTAATATAGTGGTTATGGTGTTTAAAGCCTGTCCCTGCAGTCTTCGCATTGTAAAAAGGCAGTTTTTACAATGCTGCCTAGTAACACCTCTAGGAGCAGTCACTAGAGGTGCTTCCTAGTCCAGTGCTGTGTGGCGTTCAACATCCGCACGCTCTGCATGGAGATGCAAAACAGTCTCTATAGAGATGCATTGATTCAATGCTTTTCTATGAGAAGACGTTGAATGGCACAGCGCGCCATTTTGCCACACATGTGCAATATCCTCCCAATGCTTTGCTATGGGAAAGCATTGGATTGGCTGAGATCATCAAGATTGGTGACTTCAGCCATGGAGGCGGGGCCAGCAAAGCAAGGGAGAAAGGGTGAGTAAAATCACCAGTCTGGGCGATCGGAGCCATTCATCTAACAGACACACCAGCACTATAGTGTCAAGAATACGTTTGTATTCCTGACACTCTAGTGTTCATTTAAGTTGGAGTGTGTAGATACCTGGAATAATATTAACATTCAGAGGTTTTAATAGTAATAGTTACTACAATACACTATACTAAAACTACAATACATTACACCAAAAGTCACACAAGCAATTAGCATATGGCAGAGAAACAGATTGCAGTCTGCGGCAGCATTTTATGCTTCTAAGAACAAGCTACACCAAGAATCAATATGAAAGAATAGGAGGTAAATAATGGGAAAATAGAAGACATGTTAGTTGTTTTGATGCTTGCTATGCTATTTTATTAACATTTACAAAAAACATTTTCAACATCTGCCTTAGTAATAGGAATAAATCTTAAAAAAAAACATAAACCGCCCTAAGGTATGTTAAAGGTTTCCAAGAGTTACAATTAAACTGCAAAGTGACACATTATAATCTGATTGTATCAAACAATAGTATTCATTTATGTGGTTCTACATTCCATGAACAACAAATTGCATTACATATTTTATCATCAGCAACTTAGAAACACATTACTATAGTAGGCCCTTCGATGAATATGCTTTAATTGGCAATGAAACTCAACTGCATGATATGACCTAGCAGGACACAGCTTGTAGCACAACAAGCCACCACTAGAGGATGAGCATCAAGATTCCATTGGTAGAACTGGCAGTCCTGAATCTGGAATTAGTGTTTGAATTGCCAACTTAAAGGGACACTATTGACACCTAAGACAACTTAATTTCATTCAAGTGGCCTGGGTACAGTGTCCCTGTCCACCTTAGCCATGCAATTTATAGCATTGCAGTTTTAGTGAAAAAAAAGTTAATACTGCTTCTAGTGGCTGTCTGGGTGACAGCCACTAAAGGCAAGAAGTAGAGTACCACAGGCGTCACAATGTAGACCTCTATGCCAAAACATTGTATCTTTTTTTGTCCATTTTAATCTCCAATAAATAATTTTTTGCCTTCACCATACATTGTGGTGCTTGTGGAACTCTACTTTTTGTTGTTCCTGGTGGGCTGCGGGGCCCCCTCAACAGAGATCCTACGTAAACTTACTTGTGTGCAGCACTCATTTGACTTTAGCAACTAAAGGAAATAACTATGCAATGTAGGCATGTCCTACTGTTTCACTGAGTTTGACTCTGTGAAATGACTCTGGATGCCCTCACGCTTTACATAAGGAAATCAAGTGTCTTGCAAAGCCCACAGGAAAGCATTGATTCACACGGCGCTCGCATGAGCATTAGGCTCCCCCTCATGATAACAATGGAAGAGGCGGAGCCAGCACCAAAGAACTACGGCGCTAGAATCAGGTAAATGTTTTATATGGGTTTTAACTCATTCATTGCCATAGACACCCAGACCGCTTCATCTCCACATCATTCTCCACCTCTGTCTTAGGTATTACAGGGATGGCAGAGAGAAATTATAGTGTTAGGAATTTGTATTCCTAACACTATTGTGTTCCTTTAAGTCACAGACTTCTGAGAAGTACTTGAATCTGTCCCTCGTGTGCGCTGTCATCATATTCTGTCTGCACCTCTTCTGCCACCAGGAGCCCACATCAGCACTATACTCTTGCGCATGGGGAGAAATGACCAGATGGGGAAATGACAAGGCTTGACGGTGGTAGCTTCACCTTATGTCAAGCTTTCTCAGGCGTAGGAAAAATACTGACACAAAGTAGTCCCTAGTATGTCTTTTGACTGTAATGAAATGTGAGTATTTCAGAAAGATTTTATCTTGATTAAATATTCATTTTGAAGGGGGAGGGAAGGTAACAGTGTCACTTTAAAGTATTCCACAGACAACAAAACTACTAGTGACCCTCCATGAGGATTACACTGTGGGAAAGGTGGCGACTCTCCAACAGTTTGGAGAGTTCAAGTGGAGCAGGAAGTGTGTGGGATCTCAACCTCCAGTCAAAGCTGCTCTTGACATGAGTACATGACATAATGAAAGAAAATGCTCAGGGTCATGTATGCACATAGCTACAGCAAAATCTCACTCCATGCATATTGCAAACAAGATACACACAGATCAGGGGCCTATGATGTCACATAGTGTTGGGATCCATATAGCTGTAGCAGTTTGAGCAATGTGTTACAGTAATAATGTGTTGCAGTAATAATGAATAGTATGACAGGAGACAGTGGCCAGATGTTATATGGACAAATACTCAGCTGTAATGTTGCTTCGACTTCTACTTTTAAAAAATACTGTGTTAGTTACTACTTGAAAGTCTTTCTATGTAATGCTTACTGGAGAAAAAGGACAACGTCATAAATCGTTGATTGACAATTCAGGGTCCAAAAGGGAAATCTAAAAATATTTGAGTAGCATGAATGCTAGAATCTCAAAAACCTGGCTTTAAGGGATCATATTAGGACGTACTGCTATACAGAATGAGAAGTGGGCATGTGGAAGTAACAGAATAGAATTCTGGGAGGAGTAATCATGGCTAATATTGTAAAGGAATGCAAAACAAAAATACTTGGGAAAGTCAGGAGGCCAAATATGGCTAAATATTTAAATAAGATTTAAGTAAATAGGAACATAGAAAAGGAAGTAGATGAGGCTATCGGCCTTTGTCAGCTTAAAATTATTGCTGGATTACAGTATCATCAGCTCATAATTTTAACAGAAAGGGGCATTTGAAAGGAAAAAAAAAGAAACAAGAAATTTAGCATTCATTATTTATATGCCACAAATGATTGGTAATACACTAAAAATTGCACACTGTAATACACTATTAATGCACACTGGTTAGAGGTAAATTGGTATATATTGCACAAACATATATCCCTAGCCCTATAGTGTCCTGCAACCTATCCAGATGTCCTGCCCGCCTTTAATGGTTTGGGAGGTGAGTATTACTTATCTTTCAACTCCTCGCTGCCATTGCGCCTCTTTGGCTGAGATCATCAACACTGATGAATTCAATGTGCCCCCATAGGGAAGCATTGGAAGGCTAGTTCGCATGCGCGGCAATACGCTATGAGCAGCATTTCATCTATGACTTTAGTCAGCAGTAGCAGAGGCAGAACCTCTAGTGTCTGTCAGGAAGACAATCTCTAGAGGTGTGTTAAGCCTGCAATGCAAACATTGCTGTACCTAAAGAACAGTTATATTTTACACAGTGGGCTTCAAAAGACAGGGGCGCTGCACCCAGACCACTTTATTGAGATGAAGTGATCTGGGTGCTTTTAGTGTCCCTTTAAAGGCAAACTGTCACTTCCCAGGATTTTTAATATATTTTTTACTTAGCCCCTGTACTGAGTAAATACGTATTTATGAGGTGTGAAAAAATATATATTTTTTCAAATGTATGATTATTGCATTTTATATATTGCCAACATATTCCAAGATGCTTTACAACTACGGAAAGGGGATATTTGAGGGGTGAAGAAGGCCCTGCTAAAATGAGCTTACAGTAGGTGACTAGACATTCACACCTCTTTATTCTGCAAGTGGTCACCCCATCTTCACTTCCTGTCACAATTTAATATACTCTGTCCCCTTCG